GAGGAGCCCACAGTGACTCAGCAGGGCAGGATAAGGATCTTCCAGCCCAGGGAGAGGTAACCCCACTCCCCTGCCAGGGGAGATGGAGTCACAGAGCCTGCGGCATGGGTTGGCCAGGGCAATGGAACATCCTGGGAGCACAGCAGGGAAAGCTCTTGGCAGGTGAAGGAGGAGCTGAGCACCTGGGGCTGTCCCTTCCACCTCTGCCCTTCTCACACACCCATCACCCAGACATCCTGGCAGATGGGGAGACAGAGCATGGGCAGGGCAGGGGAGGGGTGGGGTTGGGGGCAGCAAGCCTGGTTCCTCTCAGCTCCTCTGTGGCTTCATGGGGAAACAGGGGGTACAGGGTGTCCTTTGGGAGAACTGAGCTGTCTCAGGCAGATGGGGGACTTGCCAGGCAGAGTAGGGCCATCCTGAGGTAAGAGGAGGCCCTCTGCCCCAGGGTTTCCGCTGACATCACAGCCAGCTGAGGGTGAGGCAGGGCCCTTGGGGCTCCTGTCCACTGGAGAGAAAGGGAAAGTGCACATTCACACACCCACTCACACTGCTGCCCTGCTCCCCACACAGGAGGGGTGAAAAGGAGGTGCTCCTCTGAGGGATGGGGACTCCTGGGGTACTGACCCTACCTATGGTCTCACTTTGTGGGCCACTGAGCAGGGTCCCCAGGAAGCAAAGTCCTTGCCCTGGTTCTGCTGGTGGGTGGCCATGTAACTCCCGGTCTGACTCCAGACCCAGCTAAAGGGACCTGGATTCTAGCTAAGCCCTGTGGTGCTCTCAGGGTCTGGCCTCTCCCCAACCCAGGACAGTGACATGAGAGACGTAGCCCAGTGTTATAAAGCCAGTTCATGTCAGTGGTGGGTGATAGGAAGGCCAGGGCTCTCAAGATACCTGAGGACATACTTTATGTCCCAAGGAACATCTCAGTGCCCTTAAGAGCCCAGCAGTGCCTGAGGCTAGATGCCTCATAGCCAGGGGCACTCAGCAAAGTCCTGCCACTGCCCCCAGGTCTGCCCTCAGCACTCAGATGCTTCTCTTTTCAAGAGTCCCCTCAGATCCCCCTGCCTCCTGACTGGCACCTGGATGTCACTGAGGTCAGATAATGTGGGGTTCCCCTCCTGGTTTTACCACATACAGCAGCAGTTCTCAACCTGTGGGTCGCGACCCACAGGAACTGTATTAAAGGGCCGCAGCATTAGGAAGGTTGAGAACCACTGACTTAGAGGCTTGTGTGACGGGAAACAAGTGACTTCATCTTACCGAGCCTCAGTTTCCTCGTGTAAATGGGAGGATGATGGCTCCTGTCTCATGGGGTTTATTGCCAAGATGAAAGAAAATGGTGCAGGGACACCCTTGGCACATGCCCTGTGGGGAAGAGCTCGTGTATGTAAACTGTCAGTATTTAAGCAATCAGGGTCAGGAACACCAGCATGGCAGCAGGTTGGGAGTCTCTGTGGCAGGCATCTGCCTCTCCTCCCCACACTCCTGTCAGCCTCCACCCTTCCACCCCATGGTCCCTACGGCTCCTCTCTGTATCCCAGCACCTGGCATGGCTGGAGGTACTGAGGGAGTGTTAGATGAACAAATGAATGAATCAGTGAATGTCCCTAATTTCCAGTCAGGGGAACTCTGAGCTTTTCCAGTACCACACTATACTCCTGCTCACCTGTCAGGAGGGGATGAGATTCAGGGATCCCCTGGTTTAGGGATCCTGGGCTGGGGCCCTTCAATGCTGACTCCACAGCTGAGCAGGACACAATGCTGTTCGAGGCACCTGGAGAGCCTTCCCTGGGGATGTTAGTTACACGGGACACTAGCTGTCCCTGAGCCAACACTGACTCACCCTCACCTCTTAGAGGACAGCTCGGTCATTACCTGTGCCCACTCTGCCCCCAGCCAGCCATCTGTGGATGGTAAGGCCTGGGATCTGGAAAGCCAGAGAAGATGGCAAACCAGTGTCCCCCTCATCGGCTCACTGAATACTCCCACCATCCTGTAGAAAGAAGGGCAGAGGTGGTCACACCCCACTCCACAGAGAGGCAACAGGCTTTCCAAGGCCACATTGGCCAAACTGGAAGCAAGATACCTTAACTTCCAGCCTACCTTTTGCCTGTTGAAGGCAGACCTGGGTGCTGCACCCAGTGATCCTTGGTGCTTCATCTGTGGTGGCCCCTGGGCTTCCTGCTCAGCCCACCCATGCCTCCACCCTGACGTTCCCCCACCCTGGCCACTCTCCTTTCACCATCTTCCTTGGCCCTAAATGCACCTACTATCACCTATAGTGGATCTCAGATGGTTTAATCAGTGGCCCAAGACTGACATTCTTGAGGGCAGGGGTGGGTTTTCCTTGTCCTCTCTGTCTCTTACAGGACCTAGTACCCAGTAGGGAGAGACAGAGAAAATGCCTACACAAGGTACCATAGGACAGAGTCTTCCTAAGAATGTCCATCTGGATCTAGGGGACAGGTGTCTCCTCTAACCTCTGCCTGACCCGCCAGCAATCCTAGATCATGACAGCTAGAAGGGCCCTAAGCAAATTCTGTTTCTGAGAGCCATGAGGAACTTTCTCCAGCCCCCACCCCAATAGAAATCAGAGGGCAGCCACTTGTCCTGCTCCATCCCACAGAAACCCTGGAGAGGCTGCTCCTTCTCTATCTCTCCTTCCTTCCTTCTTCCCCCAATTCTGGCAGCCAACCCTCATTTGGGATTTTGGCAGAGTAAAGGCACAGTCATTATTCCAGCCCCCAACCCAACTCAACTAGTGGCTCCTGGCCTGCCACCTTTGCCCAGACAGGGAAGAGGGGCACTGGGGCTTGGAAATGGAGTTGGTTTTCCCCTTGGCAGTGTGGAAGATGAGGGGAGGGGAGAGACTTGGCCCCCACTAGATGAGGGGAGAGGGCAAGGATATAAGTCCAGACAAGAGGCAGAGGGAGAACATAACTTTCCCAGCTTGTGGAGTCACTACATTAAGAATCAAAGACAATGGACAGCGCTGGTGGCTCTCATGCCAGAGGTGGCGGGTTCAAACCCAGCCCTGGCCAAAAACTGAGGAAAAAAAAAAAAAGAATCAAAGACACACCAGGTATTGGGGGGCTGTATGTAAAACCAATTGTCCCTACACCTACTGGCCTGGGTCTCTAGTTCAGAGCTGTGGCTCTCACCAGTGCTTTGCAGGCAGCCCCACCAGGTGAATGTCTGCTGGGGGTGGCATTGCCCATGCTCCCCTCTTCTGCTTCAGTCTCTCTTCCTTGCCCAGCTCCGTTTCCTCCTCAGCTCTTGCCTCCTCCCCTCTTTCTCATTCCCCCCATGTGCCTCTTTGTGGCTCCTCTCTCCTTCCCCTTCCCTTCTCTTCTCTCACTCCCACAAGCCCCCACCCTCTTGCTTCAGCTCCCCCCTTCCCTGTCTCCTGCCCCTCCTCCTCTCCCGCATGGGGCTGCTTTCTCCCTGACTCAGCAAGGTGCTTTATAAGGTGCTGAGGGGCTCAGCCAAATCCAAACCACATTGTGCAGACTCTCCACAAGGCGCAACAAGGCAACAAGGCGTGAGGCTGCAGAGTGGAGGGAGAAGGGCCTGTGCTGCTCCCCCTCCCCTTCCCTTCTTGGCTTACTGGCCAGCTTCAGTGCCAGTCACCATAGGCATCTGCCTTCTTGACCTTGGCATGGGCATCAAAAGCTCTCATTGGTTTTACCCACCAAGAATGTCATTGAAACTCCAGGGTCCTGGCTGGTGGGCGTGGGGAGGAGGAGAGGAGGGAGGAGGGAGCCCTTGCACACTTTTCACAAGGGCCCCTCCAAAGCAATTTTCATCAGAGCTGCTACCAATGTCCCACAAGGTCCTCTGCCCTGCACTCGGGCTGGCTCTCCTTTCCCAGCTCTTTTTCTCCTTGTTTAGGAAAAAGAAAGAAAGGAAGAAAGGGGGGAGAGAGAGAGAGGAAAAAAAAAAAAAAACCCAACCCAACAACAAAGTCTGTCCCACTCCAGTGAGGTAATTGAAAACAAACTTCTTCCCCCCCACCCCCCCACCTCAGTTCTCACAGTGCAGCAAAGGGAAGAGCTGCCCTGGGAACCCAGCACTGGCCATGACCATGATGCCTGTTCTGACCCACAGGCTGGAGGGGCTGTGGCTGGACTGGCAGAGTGCCCTCTTTTCCCAGGAGCACTGAGGTAGGAAGGAGGGACAAAGGCTCTGATGCCACTCCAGGGAGAGGCATCACCTTCCAGGTCTGGTCCACCACTGGGCCTCTCCCCCGGTGGGGAAAAATCATCATTGTCAACAAAAGCAACTTAATACCAAATGATTTAACTGGAGGTGTGGTTATAGAGCACCCAAGCCTTGGAGACCAAATGACTGTCCTCCAAGAAAAATCATGATGTGCCTCTGTCTGCAAGCCCTAGATGAGAGGGCAGCCCTTTGGAAAGGGAGAAAGGGGGAGGAATGGAGACCCTGTAGGGAAGATCTAGGCTTATGGGTCCCCTAGGTGTCCTGCCCAGTAAGTCCCAACCCAGGCCTCAGGGAAGGCAGTAGGAGAAGACTCTATAGCCAAACCACTCCTGCCTCACCACCAGAAAAAAACCAACAACTCAAAACCCCAAAGGAAGGAGAATGTCAAATGTCTTTATGGGGAAGCATTTCACTAATGGGGATGGTCTGTCCATGGCCTTGAATGGGGAGCATTCTTCCAGAGTTGCCTTGAATGAGGAGCATTCTCCCTGAGTCACCGGAGAAGCCTCTGGTGTTGAAACTGGTCTGGTGCCTCGTGCTGATTAATGAACTACAAATCCCCCACCCATGTGCATTCTCCCTGGTCACTGAAGAATGATCTGGGCAGTGGGCCTGTGGTGCCCTCTTCCTCCCCCCAGGGGGCATTGTGAGCCGGTTAGTCACCTGCCCCAGCCCCTGGCGCCTCCCTGAGCTCTAGCTTTTGGAAATGGGACAAACGAAGGGACAATAGGCCAGGGGGGCGGTCAGCCCAGACAAAGGGCAGCAGGAAAAACACCATCACTTGCTTTCAGGCCAGCTCGCTGGCATTTGAGAGAATGTGTCATTGCATTTATTCAGGGGGAGGTGGGGGGAAGGTTAGAGACAAGGAAGCAGAGGTAGGGTGAGAGCAGGGACTCAGCACACACAGGGCAGGGGGCAAGGCGTCCCCAGGCCACACCGAGGGAGAAACCCACGCGGAGGCCGCCTCCCTGCCCTGGCTCTCAGGAGTTTGCACATGGACTGATGCCCTCCCCGCCCCCTCCCCCAGGAGGCCCAGGGTGGTACCAAGGCAGCCTCACCTCACCTCACCCCCCCCCTCGGTGTTGTGGGAGGGAGAGGGAGCCCCAGAAGCCCTCCCTTCCCTCCTCCCCCCTCCTCCCCCCACCCCGGGGAGGGCCGCTACAATTTGTGGTTACAGCTTTACACGTCAGAAAAAAAAAAAAAGTTTGCAGAATGTCCCACACCGAAAAAAAAAAAAATCCGAAACCGAGCGAAAAAAACCTGCGAGTGGGCCTGGCGGATGGGATTATTAAAGCTTCGCCGGAGCCGCGGCTCGCCCTCCCACTCCGCCAGCCTCCGGGAGAGGAGCCGCCCCGGCCGGCCCGGCCCCCAGCCCCATGGACCTCCGAGCAGGTAGGAGCCCGGCGTCCGGGGCCCGGCCCCCGCCCCCGCTGGGCAGCCGCGGAATCCGGTTCCCGTCCTTCCCCGACACCCCGAGAGCCCTGCGCCGGCTCGAGGCCAGAGGAGGCACGGCCGGGCGCCCTCGAGAGGGGCCGGGAGGGGACGCAGCATTCTTGGAGTCCGCTCGGCAGGGCCAGGAGGTGGCCGGGGGTGCGGCGGGGGAGCCGGGAGACTCGCAGACCTGGGGAGGCGGCAACCTGGAGCCCCAGCGAGGCGGGGTTCCGGGGAACCCGCGGACCGAGAGCCCCACGCAGAAGTCGGGGAAGCGAGTCCGAGGCGGGGAGTGGGACTGCGGGGGGGAGGAGGGGGCCGGGGAGAGGAAGCAGGAGGGAGGCGGGGAGCCCGCGGCCGGGCCGGCGGGAGGCGAGAGAGGCCGACACCTCGGGCCGCGCCGCTCTCCCCCCGACCCGCGGGGAGGGGAAGGCGGGCGGAGAGCAGGGCGGAGGGCAGAGCGAGCCGGGCTGGGCCGGGCCGGACGGGCCGGACGGCCGGCCCCACAGCAGCCGGAGCCCTCCAAGCTGCCAGCGGCTGGGGCGCCGGCGGCAGGTAGGGGCGGCACAGCGAGCCCCTAGCCCGCCGTGGCCTGGGAGTGATTACTGCGGGGGGCGGGGGACCGGGACGCAGCCCCGGCCGGACCCAGCAGGAAAAAGTCTGTCACCCGCCCGGGAGCGGCGGGAGCCGGCTGCCCGCGGGAGGGCGGGCGGGCTGGGCAGGGAGTGGACGCGCGGGAAAGGGCAGCGCCGAGCCCCGCGCCCGGCGCCCCGGACCCCACCCCCGCCCCCGCCGCCGGGAAGGGAACAGAGGGGCGGGAGCGGGCGGGGGCGCCGAGGCCACACAGGGGGAAGGCGCTGCGGCCGGGAGGGGTCCGGGAGCTAGAGGTCTCCGCCGAGGAGGGAGGGCCATCGAGCCGCAGCTGCCGCCGCACAGTTCCGAGCTGAGCCCTTGGAGAGGAACCTCACGTCCCCGGGGTCTCGCCGGAATCCCTCGTCGCTGCTCTCTCCTCTCCCATTTCCAACGCCAAGCTGAGCTCCAGGAGCCCTCCCACAGATCCTCAATCCCAGAGGACCCGAGTGTCCGCCAGGGCCCATCTTGGCGGTGCGGGACGGCCGCGGCAGTCGGAGCTTGGAGACAGGCTGGGGATGGGGGGGGCCGACCCGTTCGGTCTGCCGGTCTTTCTCTGACCCCGACCGACAACCTCTGCGCTTTCACTACCCCACCAGACCTCCGCCGGCTCCCAGCACACTGACCCTCACGTCGACACAGGTACTTGCTCCCCAACCAGCTAGGACACCTACACAAAACCAGGGATGGAAACAGGCAGGGATGGTAGCAACTGTCACCTAGCCGCCCCAGAAGTGACACTCCTGACTGGTGTAATGACTCCCTCTTCCCTCCGTGCCCAGACCCACGCTCCTGTCCCATTTACACTTCTGCACACCACTTCCTCCACAGCCAGCCACTTGCTTAGGGACACTTCACATTCCTCCCTGCAGTCCCACCTGCCTGTTCACACGCGGCTCCTGCCGGCTCTCTCCAAGCCCCTCCCTCCCCCTCTTCATAACACACTGCCCGCTCACCCACTCGCCCCCGCCCCCCATCCCCCCTAGCGGTCAGCTGGCTGCCCTGTGACGGTCTCCCTTCTCCGGAGCACACCCAGGACCCTCTCAACGCGTGATCAGATGCCTCTCACGTAACCAAAGCTCCACTGCTGTCTTGGTTACTGACTTAAGGCAGAGGCTGGCCCACCCTCTGCTTACTTCCCTGGACCTCAGTTTTTTCTTCTGTCTTTTAGGCTGGAAGAGAAGGGCAGGGAGGGAGATGCCGGAGAGTACAGCAGAGACAAAGCCTCACAAGTTTGGGGGTGCTTTAGAGTGCACAGTCACCAGAGGGGTTGGTGGCAAAACTAGCTGTCCTGACATCTAGGCCCATGTATCCCACTCAGCAAGCCCCTTCTCAGTGGTCTGGGGGAAAGGGAACCAAGGAGAGGGCAGAAGAGAGGGATGAGAGGGAAGGGCAGCCAGCCCAGAGGATGGAAAAAAGATGGATTTCTGTGTCCTGTCTCTGGGAATGGGGATTGGGAGGCACCCCTAGAGTAGCTTTCCTATAGTCACAATGCCTGGATCTCACATCACAGTCTACACACCAACTCCTAACCCAGTCCATCCCCCCAGTTCCTCTCAACTGATTGCTCCAAGGTTGCCCAGGTATGCAAAGCCTTTCTTTCTGGCTCCCATATTTAGCTCAGTGTGTGGCTACCGGCCACACCTTTGGAACCCTGCAGTGCCTTCCTGGCTCCAACATTTAGGGGTCACAGCCTTAGCCACCAGTCCTAGGTGCAGATTCTCCCTGTTGACTCGTCCTACCCATTCTAACCATCCTGGCATATCTGTACCAAGAGGCCCCCACCTTCCCTGGGAGAGGTCACCATGGGGACCACAGGCCAAGGGCTGAGGCAGCTGGCCCAAAACATGTGGATACCGGTGTGTCTGCCTGTGCAGCCCTGTCAGGGTGGCCATGTGCTTGCGTGGGCTAAGAGTATGTGTGTGTGTATGATCATGAGGGGGGCCTTGGTTCCCAGGGCCCAGGGATCTGGATGGAATTAGGGCCTGGCCCCGGTGGGGGCCAGGATGGGGGGTGGAAGGATGCTGCAGGAAACGTGAGCTGTGCTCATTAGCTCCTCACGTGCTCAGCCGGATTTATAAACACAAGAAGAGGGGATGTAAACAATCAGCGGGCAGCAGCCAAAGGCAGAGCTGGGGGGGGGGGGCTGGGCCAGGGGACCAGGGCTGGGGGAGGGGGCTAAGGACACTGCCCCCACACCAGGGTCCACCTGCACACCGTAAGCCTGGGGAGGAGATTGGCCAAGGGCTCCGGGAAGCCCACTGCATACTCCCTGCTTGGGAGGCTGGCAAGCTGCGCTAGGTTCCAGTGCTCCAGCTAATCCACAGGTGTTCTCTGCCTCCAGCAGCTTTGCTGCCTGAAATAGGGACGCATCTTGCCCAGAGTGGAAGCTGTCGCAGCAGAGGGCAGAGCCTCATCCCTTTGCCTCCCCTCTCTCCTCTCCTAGTCTCTTCTCCCTGTGGGTTCTGGAGACTGCTTCCCTCTTTCTGGTTCACTCTGTGGCCCGGCAGTCAGATCCTTCTGCTCTCTTCTGCCCCCCGCTGCCCCCCCACCCAGCCTGCAGTGACACAGTTACCTCAGAACTGAAATATTCCTGGAAACACCGGCCTCGTCTGGTTAATTTCATGAGCCGTTTTTCTGCCCAGACGATTTAGCTCTTGTTTATCCAAAGGCCTCTCCCACTGCTGTCCCTGTATAGGGAGCTGGTCCCCCTCAGGGGCATCCCACAGGGCACAGAAGGGGAGGGGGAAACAGGCCTCCATCTGGGTTCCTGAGCACACTCCCACTCTAGAATAGCCAGAGCCCTATCCCAGAACTCTGGTTAGCAGGTCTGTCCAAGGCAGTGTAGGGTAAAGAGACAAGTCCAGTTCCCAATTCCTGCTTCAGCTGGGAGCATTGGCATTGCCACTAACTTTGAGCAGGCCAGACTCAATTCTGAAAGCCCCCTCAAGGCTGGAAGGGCTACTGCCCCCCTCAGCAGGTCTCCAAGCCCCAAAATGCTAGATAGCACCACTGGGATCCTGGAGGTGACTCAACTGGATCCCCAGACTTTGCACAGAGGAGAAGGGCCTGGAGTTGGCTGGGGATGTGAAGAAGAGAAAGAGACAGGAGCTGGGAATGGGAAGGAGCATCCAGGAGGGAACCAAGGGCTGCAGTTAAGTGCCTGACCCTATTCCCTGTCCTAAAGCACATGCATGCATGTGGACACAGCTACACTCACAAACTCCCTCAAAGCGCCTTCACCCAAAAGCGCAGGGTCTCCCACTGGCCTAACCTACCACCATGCTCCATGAGTAAACCCAACCAGCCAGCCAGACATCTGAAAGAGTCAAGACTGACCAGTTGAGCCATTACAAAAGTCCTCACCTGACCCGTGTGCTCTGTGAGAGACATCTACAACTTGAATCCTGAATCCTTCTTACTTTGTAGCCCTCTCTAACCCCTACTCCAGTATTATGCCTAACTCTAACCCTAACGTAGTCTTCATTCTTTCTTAAATTAAGCCCTTATCATAACTGTAAGTAGAGCCCAATTGTTTCTTCTTCTTCTTCTTTTTTTTTTTTTGTAGAGACAGAGTCTCACTTTATTGCCCTTGGTAGAGTGCTGTGGCATCACATAGCTCACAGCAACCTCCAATTCCTGGGCTTAGGTGATTCTCTTGCCTCAGCCTCCTGAGTAGTTGGGACAACAGGCACCTGCCACAATGACCGGCTATTTTTTTGTTGCAGTTTGGCCAGGGCCAGGTTTGAACCTTCCACCCTCAGTGTATGGGGCTGGTGCCCTACCCACTGAGCCACAGGTGCCGTCCTAGTAGAGCCCAATTGTTAAACCTACCCAACTTATTTCTAACTATCAAAGCAACATGTATCATTATAGAAAATTTTTGAAAATAGAAGATAAAAGCTAGAGCAGTGATTCTTAACCTGTGTGCCATGGCACATTGGTGTGCTGTGAGAGGATATTAGGTGTGCTGCAAAATTTTTAAAGATCGTTAATTAAATTGTTTTCAAAAGAAGGTCAAAACATAGTAAGTATATTCCTTTTTTATAGTCTTTTTAAAAATCAATGTAATTTAAGTGTGCTGCAGAAGGCTAACTATAGGTTCAAATGTGCTATAAGAAAAAAAGGTTGAAAAACACTGATGTAGAGGAAAGAAACCACTCATGACCTCCCACCCACCCAAGCTTAAAACCCAAACTAGCCTGGTCCTATGTGACCTGCCAAACATCACACCATCTGACATCTAAATCAACAAATTCACAGGCCTCAGCCCCAGCTAACCCTCTGCCTGCCCAACCCTAACCACATCCCCCTGCTGGACTCAAACCTCAACCACACTAAATCAACCAAATCCCAAATCTAAATGAATCTGAAACTTTAAAAGTAACCTAGTCCTTAAACCTAACCTAGCCCAATGCTGTGTATATTCCTACCCTATTGCACCTTAATTGCCTCTGCCAGTCCCAAATGTCCCCTGAGCGCCAATCTTGGTGCTCATATACACACCTAGAAAAGCACGCTTCCCACAAAATAAAATTCCTTTTCTTTTTTTTTTTTTTTTTTGAGATAGAGTCTCAATTTGTTTTTGTTTTTGTTTTTTTTTTGAGACAGAGCCTCAAGCTGTCCCCCTGGGCAGAGTGCCGTGGCATTACAGCTCACAGCAACCTCCAACTCCTGGGTTCAAGCGAGTCTCCTGCCTCCGCCTTCCAAGTAGCTGAGACCACAGGCGCCCACCACAACGCCCGGCTATTTTTTGGTTGCAGCCATCATTGTTGTTTGGCGGGTCCGGGCTGGGGATTCGAACCCGCCACCTTAGGTGTACGTGACTGGCGCCTTAGCCTGTTGAGCTATAGGTGCTGAGCCTCAATTTGTTTTTTGTTTGTTTGTTTCTTGGGATTTTTTTCAGAGACAGAGTCTCACTTTATCGCCCTTGGTAAAGTGCCATAGTGTCACAGTTCACAGCAACCTCCAACTCCTGGGCTTAGGCGATTCTAGTAGCTGGCCTCAGCCTTCCAAGTAGCTGGGACTACTGGCGCTCACCACAACACGTGGCTAATTTTTTTTGTTGTTGAAGTTTGGCTGGGGCTGGGTTCGAACCTACCACCCTACCCACTGAGCCACAGGCGCTGCTGTTGATTTTTGTTTTTTTTTTTTTTTGAGACAGAGTCTCACTATGTCACCCTGGGTAGAGTGCCATGGCATCACAGGCTCACAGCAACCTCAAACTCTTGGGCTTATGCAATTCTCCTGCCTCAGCCTCCCAAGCACCTGGGACTATAGGCACTTGCCACAAGACCCAGCTATTTTTTGTTGCAGTTGTCATTGCTGTCCAGCAGGCCAGGGCCAGGTTCAGACCTGCCACCCTTAGTGTATGTGGCTGGTGCTGTAACCACTGTGCTACAGGAGCCAAGCCCAGACTCTCAATTTGGAGTGCTCATGGCATCATAGCTCATAGCAACCTCAAGCTCTTGGGCTTAAGCTATTCTCTTGCCTCACCATCCCGAGTAGCTGGGACTACAGGTGCTCACCACAACCCACAGCTGTTTTTAGAGGCAGGGTCTTGCTTTTGCTCAGGCTGATCTGGAACCTGTGAGCTCAGGCAATCTACCTGCCTTGGCCTCAAAGGGCACAAAATTCTTTATAGCACTGGCTCTGGGCATCCTGGTGTGTCCAAATTCTGCAGTGCCAGCAGTCCATGGCCCGATTCATCTCATGCGTGTTCCTCTCTGCCCACTCACTTCTTCTGTTCCCTAACTGGATGCTCAGAAAGGGTCTCACTGAAGTCAAACTTTTCCCCACACAACACCTGAGATGAGAATGGGGTGAACCTATCCACTGCTACCAATCTCTGAAAAGAGTGCTAAGTCCTTCAATCTCACCCCACCCAGGAACCAGACTGCCTGGTCAGGCAGCCCCGTGTCCTTCAGCCTAATGCTGGTGATCTGACTCTGTACCTGGCCACAGCCACTGTCCTGCTCCATGCCAGCTGGGGCACACTATTTCCCATCCCTGACTCCGTCCAAGCTGCATTGGGACTGAGAGTGGCAGAGACGACTTGGGTACAACTGGGACCCAGACACACTGATTCACAGTCCCTAGGCCTGGCCCCATCCCTGTGTGTGCACATACATGTTGGCACACATACCGTGGTACACGTGCCAAAGACTTTCTTAGCTGACACACAGATATACTCTCAAATAGCTTCTGATAGACAAGTGCAAATACCAAGCCCTCATCCTCAAACACAGGCCTCTTCTCCCTCTCTGGCCAGGAGCGTTCTTCTCCTCCATCCCCCCTGCCTTCCATCTGGTGTCCGCACCCTCACCCCCCTCAGCCCAAGGTGGGGACAGACACCTGAGGGGCTGCCAGCTGCTTCCCCACTTGGACCTGGATGCTCCTTATGCTTCTTGCCCATCCTGTCCACAGGAGACTCGTGGGGGATGTTAGCGTGCCTGTGCACAGTGCTCTGGCACCTCCCTGCAGTGCCAGCTCTCAATCGCACAGGGGACCCAGGGCCTGGTCCTTCCATCCAGAAAACCTATGACCTCACGCGCTACCTGGAGCACCAACTCCGCAGCTTGGCTGGCACCTACGTGAGTATCCAGCTTAGGAGTCTGGGAGTTGGCCACAGAGTGAGGAGTTGGGGAAGGACAGACATAATGGGGGAGGGTTCTGGTGAGGGGGGATGATAAGGAGGGGCCCTTTGGCTCCAAGTAGCCTCCCTGTCTGGGCTATCCCTGCCCTTCCCTCTGAGGTGGCCCCTCCTCCCCATCCCTGGCCCCAGGACTAGGCATGTGGGCAGGCCTCGCACCCGCCTTGGCCCACTGCCCCACTGGCTGCCAGCCCAGCCACCCGCCTCCCCCTGGGGGCCGGGGAAGTCTCTGTTTACACCGTGTTGTGGTGTCTCTTGCACGGGTGGGGTTGGGTAGGGATGGAGGGGCCCCACCTCCCATGCCTGTGTTCCAGCTCGCCTCTGCCCCAGACCTGGGGCCCTCCTGCTCTGGACCCATGGGCCTCCCTTCTGTCTGCTTCTCCCATTCTAGCTGGGCCTCCTAGGGGGTCCCAGGGGAAGAGGACTGCAGGGAACCCAGGCCAGTAGTGGCAGGGGTTTGGGGTGGGGATGGAGGTTCTGCTGTAAGGCTTTGGGGGCAGTCCAGAGGTGTTCAGAGAGCCCAGGAGAGAAGGAAGGAGGGTCAGAGGAGCTGAGGACCATAGGGAACCGGCCCCTCTTCCCGTGTTCCTCTTCCACATCCCAGACCCTACTCTGGAGCCAGGGAAAGAAGGAGGAGGAGGGTAGTGGGGGAGCTGGCTCCAGCCCCAGGATACACCGAGGAAATTAGTTTGTCTCTGTGCTTGTCAGCGTGTGAACCTCCCCCTGGGCCCTTGCCTATCCCAGGCCTCGCCCCTCTTTTCTCCCTTTCTCTTCCAGTCACACATCTCCCTTGTCCCCCTCTCTGGGCCCCCGCTGGTCCCCCAGGGGTTGGCAAGGGCTTTGCCCTCTTCCCTGTGCTGTTCTGCCTTCCATACCCTTCCTCCTGTCCTGTGCTGCAGACTGCCTCAGTTTCTTTCTTCTGCAGCCCTGCTCCTTCCAGCGGAACCCTTCCTTGGGGATGTGAATGAGTGCCCTTCTGTCTCCATCCCTTCAGCTGGTGGGATGGGGCACATCACAGAGACAGAAAGGGCTCTGATGCCACCGGCCCCTTTCAGTACCCTACTTTCTCTCATTTTCCTGTGCAGAAAACCTCTGCTTGTCTCTGCCACCCCCTCTAGCTCCCGACCCTTCTTCTCTCCTGGCTCTCTCTGCCAAATTTCTCGAAGGAGTGGTCTACACCCCCTGCCTCCACTTCCTCTCCACCCACTCACTCCTTAACCCCCTACAATCTGGCTTCCAGGCCCCAGCGATGGTTCCCTCCAAGGTCGTGAGGCATCTTTTTGCCAGACCTGCCAGTATTTGTGGCTCATTCTCCTGCTCTGTTTTGCAGCCACACTCCTGGCACTGCTGCCTTCTTGAACTCCTCTTCCTTGGCCTCTGCACTCTCCTAGGTCACCTTCTTCCTCTTCAGCCTGGCCTGCTGGTTCTTCTCGGCTCCTCTTCCTCTCTGCCTTGCTTCCGTGGTGGGCGCTCTCCAAGGCCTGCTCGCTGCTGAGTGTCTTCTGTGAGCGTTTCACTCTCACTGCTTCACCTATCACCTCCGTGCAAATAATATCCTTGTTGAAGAAACTCAGGGGAGGCCTAGCATGGTGACAGGGCTGGGGTCAGGACACAAGATACAGAAGCTCTGGGCCAGGCCTCTCAGTGGTGAGCTGATTGCTCGCTCTGTCTGCCTCCTTCCCCATCACTGTCTTTTCACAGCTGAACTACCTGGGACCCCCTTTCAACGAGCCTGACTTCAACCCACCTCGGCTGGGGGCAGAGACTCTGCCCAGGGCCACTGTCAACTTGGAAGTGTGGAGAAGCCTCAATGACAAACTGAGGCTGACCCAGAATTATGAGGCCTACAGCCACCTTCTGTGTTACTTGCGTGGCCTCAACCGGCAGGCTGCCACCGCCGAGCTGCGCCGCAGTCTGGCCCACTTCTGTACCAGCCTCCAGGGCCTACTAGGCAGCATTGCAGGTGTCATGGCAGCTCTGGGCTACCCACTGCCCCAGCCTTTGCCTGGGAATGAGCCCACTTGGACCCCCGGCCCTGCCCACAGTGACTTCCTCCAGAAGATGGACGACTTCTGGCTGCTGAAGGAGTTGCAGACCTGGCTGTGGCGCTCAGCCAAGGACTTCAACCGGCTCAAGAAGAGGATGCAGCCTTCAGCAGCCGCGGTCACCCTGCATCTGGAGGCCCACGGTTTCTGATCTCTGACCTTTACCAGCTCCTCTTTGCTCCTCATTCAAACGCTGTTTCCACTCTAGGAGGAGAACCCTGTATGCCAACACTTGTTGAGCCAGGAGACAGAAGCCACAAGCCTCTGGCCCTCCCCTGGACTTGGATGGGGGTGTGATGCAATAAGAGGTGTGACAGGCCCCACCCTATTTCCACAGAGAGTGATGCTCAAGGGAGTCCAAAGTGGCTCAAGTTGGTGCAAAGGCTATCACAGCCTCCTGCCTGCTGCCTACCAGTAGGTCAGTACCCACCCAGTTGTACCTGGAGGACAGGGAGGAGGGCCCCCATAGCACGTGCCTTTCTGGGGTGAAGCCCTTTGGCTACACCACTCTTCTTGGATAGGGGTTGCTGCTCCACCCACAAATAACTCTACACATCCAATTCAGGAAACAAACATGGTGGCAAGTCTAAACAAAGAGATGGAATTAAAAATCAGAGGGGTGGGGTCTGCATTGGAAGTGACCTATCGACTGGAAGAGGTAATACTGAAAGCAGAGGGCAGGGAAAGACCAGATCCAGGAGTCACCATATCAGTCAGTGGCATGGAGTGGCAAACAAAAGCCAGGTTGAGCATTAGGACCTTGCCTTAAATTTTCTTGCCAGCATCACGGTGCCTCCACTCTGCCCCCTTTCCCAGGGTATCTGTGGGTTGCCCAGGCTGGGGAGGGCAACCATAGCCACAGCCACAGGATTTCCTGAAAGTTTACATTGCAGTAGCATTTTTGGGGTGTGGGATGGCAGTTTCCCCAGGCCCTGCCCCCAGCCCCACCCACTCATGACTCTAAGTGTGTTGTATTAATATTTATTTATTTGGAGATGTTATTTATTAGATGATATTTATTGCAGAATTTCTATTCTTGTATTAACAAATAAAATGCTTGCCCTGGAACTCAGTCTCCTTGCCTAGCCCTGCCCCACTCCTGGTTCTTGGGGCTGCTCCCTGGGCCCTGGCTCCCACTCAGTCTCTGCCTCTGGTAGAGGTGCTCCTCCCTCTGCCCACCAGAGCAACGTGTGCACCTTGGACTTACTTGTCTGACTCCCGCCACCCTACTGATCCCTCAGTCCTCTCAAGACTCTTCCCTCTGTCTCTGGTTTTCCTTCACTCTGCCCTTGCTCACTCTTCTGGATTTTCTGGATTGCTTTAATGGTCTCATAAGTCTGTCTCCCTGCCTTGGATTTCTCCTCTCCAGCCCCCCTCCCTAGGGTGAGCAAAGTTATCCACCTGGCTATCTCTCCCCCCAGTGGTCAGCAGCTGGGCTTTCAGTCCCCAACTTCCCACTAGGCCATGACCCTCCCCTCAACACCCTCTCTTAGAGAAGGTGACAGACTGCAGCTAAGTCATACAGTTCTCAGCTCTGACTCCTTTCTCTCCAATGTATGACAGCATGATTAGGGGAAAGAAAGAAACTCACTGGCGGCACCTGTGGCTCAAAGGAGTAGGGCGCTGGCCCCAAATGCCAGAGGTGGGTTCAAACCCAGCCCTGGCCAAAAAACTGCAAAAAAAAAAAAAAGAAAAGAAAAGAAAGAAAGAAACTCATTGACAGGGAGAGAATGAGGTGATCCAGGGCCCCATCCCAGTTTCATGGCCCACAGCTGAAGGACCTTAGATGTACCAAAGCTTTCTATTCTCACCATTGGTAACATGGAGATACTACGCACTCTTGTAAGATGGTTGGAAAGACTAAAGGAAACAATGAAGGTGAGATACTTGGCTGTAGCAGTAGCATCTATAGCAATGATGGCTCACTGGGGATACTCCAACATGTCATGACATTTTAGTTAAGAACCACAGGATAAGGCTGAGCATGGTGGCTCATGCCTGTAATCCCAGCACTCTGAGAAGCTGAGAAGGGTGGATCACTTGAGTTCAGGAGTTTGAGACTAGCCTGAGCAAAAGCGAGATCCTGTCTCTAATAAAAATAGAAAAAAGTTAGCCAAGTGTGGCAAGTGCCTATAATCCAGCTACTCAGGAGGCTGAGGCAAGAAGATCTCTTGAACCCAAGAGTTTGAAGTTGCTGTGAGCTATGATGCTATCCCACTCTACTCAGGGTGACAGAGTGAGACTGTCTCAAAAAAAAAAAAAACAAAAACAAAAACAGAAAGAATCACAGGGTAAATTAATGGATTAGTTGCTCCCAGGTAATGCATGGATATCTTAGAAGGGCCACCTAGAGACATTGCCTCAAGCAAAGGAAGTAAGGAATGACAGTGATGTCAATAAGCTGACAAACACGGGAAGCCCTAATTACCTGCCCATCGCTCACGGAAAGCCAAAAGAAGCCTAAAACCTAATGTGGCTCCTGCCCTTATGGAGCTTGTAATCCACTTGGGAAGAAAAGATTAGTTTACTTGAAATAAAAGGGCCAAAAGCAAACACATGGGATGCAGACCAGGAGGCGCCAGCAAGTGCAAGAGCCCCCAGAGGAGGGAGAGGTCAGAGTGTCTGTGCGGGACTTGCCTGTGGGTGGGGCGAGCCAGGCTCCTGGGAATGTCCCTGAGTCATCTGGCCCAAGTTGAAGGGAACATGCCCCACCCTGAGGGGTCCAGGTTCTCCAAGTGGAGACATCTGCCCAGGCATAGCCAGGGGCACCTCCAGGCCCTGCCCTTGCCTAGCAAGACAGAAAGGAGAAGGTATCTGGGCTGTCTCCACACACAGGCAGAATTGTCATGGCCTGTGACAACTTCTGCAGACCACTAGGCAAGGGGTTGTAAGGAACACAGAGGTACATGGGTGTAGGTCCTGTTCACACAGACTGCACACCGTCCCACACAGTGAGCTTCTTGGGGAAAGATTCTGAGTCTTCCTCTTCTCTCTATCCCTGTGCCCAACTTGGACCCCAGCCTAAGGAAAGTGTTCAGTTACTGTGTTAAACAAAATCTAGAAACAGGAATAAGAACTCTTTCCCACAAATGCTATAATACAACACAGAATTCTATAAGTGCAGGAAAAAAAAGATAGTAGGCAAAATACTAGGGAAGTCTGGGAAGGAGAAGCAGCATAGAGTAGGGTAAAGGCCCTCGAGGCTATGGGCCCTCTGGGGAGGAAATGGTATTTGAAGTTGAGGCTGTATTTTCAGTGTGTAGAACACAGCGAGAACTCCATCGGTGGGAGGGTTAGACATTGTTTTTGAAGGATGGGCAGAATTTGCACAGATGGAGATGGGGCAGTATATGGGTTGGTTAACTGTTTCCTTAAGCAGGTGGCATCCTAAGGGCAGGCTCCAGATTTATTCATCTTTGCCTTCCTACAACATTTTACCATAATGGCTGGCATAGTAAAGTCCTCAGTAATTCGATTTAAAGGGATATGAAGTGTCAAGATGATAGTGTTTTAGAGGTTGTGAGAACAGAGTTTGAAGGAGGGGGCTGATAACAGTCTCAGATGCCTCAAAAAAATAAGAGAAGAAGAAAGTCATGGGTGACCTCTTGAAAGAGCAGGGGAGAAGCAACACCAAATTGTCAGATTATCTTTTTTTTTTTTGACAGAGCCTCAAGCTATCCCCCTGGGTAGAGTGCCATGGCATCACAGCTCACAGCAACCTCCAACTCCTGGGCTCAAGCGAGTCTCCTGCCTCAGCCTCCCAAGTAGCTGGGACTACAGGTGCCTGCCACAACGCCTGGCCATTTTTTGGTTGCAGCCATTATTGTTGTTTGGTGGGCCCGGGCTGGGGATTCGAACCCGTCACCTTAGGTGTATGTGGCTGGCGCCTTAGCCGCTTGAGCCACAGGTGCCGAGCCTTGTCAGATTATCTTAAATCAGATATCTCAGATTAAAAGACTTGGGAGACAGAACATAGAAAGGGTAAATAAAGTCTCTCAGAATTTACTAGTGAAGGAAGTATTTAGAGGAGTTAGCAGGATCAAGAAAGATTTTTGTTTTTTTGTTGTTTTTATTTTTATTTGTTTATTTTTTGAGGCAGGGTCTCACTCTGTTGCCCAGGCTACAGTGTTGTGGCATCATAGCTCACAGAAACCTCAGACTCCTGGGTTCAAGTGATCCTCCTGCCTTGGCCTCCTGAGTAGCTGGGACTATAGGCGTGGGCCATGACACCTGGCTAATTTTTCCTTTTTTTGTAGAGATGGAGTCTCATTCTTGCTCAGGCTGGTTATGAACTCCTGAGCTCAAGGGATCCTCCTGCCTTGGCCTCCGAGAGTGCTAGGATTACAGGTGTGGCCCAGAGTTTGAGTCTTTAATTCTGTCCCCAGTTGCTCCCAATGATGGTGTGCATGTGGGGGAATGAGCCCTTCCTTTAGATTTTGGCACTATGTGCCACAGGGTTTCTTGTGAAATGCCAGCACCACAGGACAGAGAGCCCCTGGTAAATGATAGGGCATTAGTATTTTCTTTTCTTTTCTTTTCTTTTTTTTTTTTTTGAGACAGAGTCTCACTATGTCACCCTTGGTAGAGTACTGTGGTGTCACAGCTCACAGCAACCTCAAATTCTTGGGCTTAAGCAAAATTCTCTTGCCTCAGCCTCCCAAGCAGCTGGGACCATAGGAGCCCACCACAACGCCTGGCCATCTTTTGTTGCAGTTGTCATTGTTGTTTAGCTGTCCTGGACCAGGTTTGAACCCACCAGCCTGGGTGTATGTGGCTGACACCGTAACCACTGTACTATAGGCACCGAGCCAGCATTAGTATTTTCTATGAATTTGTCACTGGATCTCCATCCACAGCTGCTTCCTGCAATATGATGTGTTTTGTTGGTTATCTAGGTTCTGCTCTTAAGTATGGCCAAAGAGACTGCGTTTGGTGCCTCACGCCTATAATCCTAGCACTCTGGGAGGCCAAGGGAAGTGGATCTCTTGAGTTTAGGAGCTCCAAACCAACCTAAGCAAGAAAGAGACCCCATCTCTACTAAAAATAGAAAAAGTAGCCAGGCATTGTGGCAGGCACCTATACTTCTGGCTATTCGGGAGGCTGAGGCAGGAGGATCACTTCAGCAGTTTGAGGTTGCTGTGAGCCAGGCTAGCACCACAGCACTCTAGCCTGGGTGACAGAGTAAGGCTGCATCAAAAAATAAAGTATGGCAGCAGAGTCAGAGGCTCAAGTATCCCCAGCCCTCAGTGTCAAGGGGTGGGGACCACATTATCTTTAGAAGTTCTTATCTCCTTACAAGGCTACTGTGGATAGATGAGAGGGAGAGGGAGAGAAGGTGCTCCTTCCTGTCCTCTCCAGAGAGCATGTGGGGATTAGAAATCTCATTGCCATCTTGGGTGCTTGGAAACATACCTGCATTGTGAGAAAGAGCACAAGATGGAGAACTGTTGGATGGGGCAGGAGGCAACTTCTGAGAGGGGAGGAGTAGTATAGAGGGGGCTCTGACAGGGGTGAGCAAACAGTCAGACCTTGCCAGCTTCCCAACATCCAAAACTTAGAGGCCTTCTCAGCATGTGAGGACTCATTCAAGCACTGATCTTACATGCTTACACATACACACACACTCACCCAGAGGGCAAGGGCCAGTGATTGGGGGCTGGCTGAGCCTTCTGATGGTGGCTCCCTCAGCTTCCCCCTTCTTCTCTAGAGCTACAACTGTCCCAGCCTTTGTTCCTTCAATTCTTGAACTCCCTGACTCAGCCTGGTTCCTGAATTTCCCAGCAGGGGACAAAGCCCTTGTCATGGGGTGGGGTTGGGGGCAGTGAGGGAGTAACAGTAAGAAAGCTTTAGAGCAAAAGTTCCAGTACTGGCCCCCCCACCAACCCCCAGTCTCAGCCTTCAGGGTCTCTCAGCCCTGCCAGGGCAGAGGTCACCTCTGAGCTCCTCCCAACTTGCCCTGATGGCAAATGCCTGGCTGATGGGGTGGAAACGGTTAACTAAGCCATCTTCCCAGCTGGACAAAGTCTGACACCTGGTGGCCAAGGTGAGGAATGGGCAAAGGGCCCCATTTAAATCTCCCTAGAATTTCTTTAGGGCCAGGATGGCCCAGGTGAAGGAGAGGTGTGGAGGGGAGGTGTACAGGGTGGTGGGGGCGGGAAAGAAATGACAGCAGTGGCAGAAAAATTCAGAGGCCTCTTCCCGCCCCAAGGCTCTCACCCCTTAAGCCATGGCCCAGGAAGGGGAGGGGTGAGGACAGGGTAGCAAGGACTAGGAACAGCTCCTGAAAGAATTCTGGCCCCAGGGTGAGGAAGGGGGCCCAGAATGTGTGAGTATGTGTGGGGCTGGGGGCTGTTAGTCGGGGTGCCCACAATATTCTGAGGGCCTGAGGAAGGGGTGAGCTAGAGAGAGGGACGGTATACCCCATAGCCCACTAGGCCCCAGGCAGCTGCTCCCTTCCCACCACCTGCCTCCACCCTCTCAGCTCTACCTGCCTCTCCCCACAAACCCAACTGTGAGCTGGGGTAGGGGGAATGGCTTTCTGGGCGCCTGCGCAGTGCTGAGGCCCTCTGTCCTGCCAATTGTCTAAGCTAAGCAATGCCTAATCCTCCTTCCCCTTAAAGCAGTGAGCAGTGGGCCTCAGCCCTCAGGAGGGTGCTGGGCTCCTGTTCTAATTCTTTTTTCTCTTGGGATCTCCAGGATGTTGGCTTTGGCCCTGAAGCAAGGGCCTTGAGTCTACTCAGGCCAAGGTGCAAAGGTCATTCTTACCAGTCACATCACCATCCTCTGGGTATCAAAACTGATACAAGGACATTCCCTCAAGGAGAGAAAACTTAGTCCTGAGCTCAGACCTCTGGCCAGGTCCTCCAACCTGAAGCCTGAATGCTGATAGGCTCCAGGACAGTGGTTCTGGGGATGGGCCCAGGAAGTCGCCTGAGGAGGGAAAGGGGTTCTAGGCAAGAACGTGGCAGGAGGTTGGAGAGCAAGGAAGGAAAAGACCTGAAAGTGGACTGGCCAAGGTCTGTCTTAGTTGCCAGTACATGTTAGGGATCCTGACAGACAGGGATGGTTCTAAAATCCCTGGGTGCCAACTCCTCCTTTGGGGCTCAGTCCCACTGCTATTTGACCAGGAAAGAAGGGCACAGCTGCTGGGGTGACTTCCCTCAACTTTAGAAGACCGGGCCTATGGCACCTGCTCTTGAACTGACCACTCTGGGCCTGGGAGGAACTGAAGCCCAAGGAAAATATCTTCCAGGCTGGGCAGGAGAGCCCAACAGGGCCTGAGCCAGGCAGAGCTGGGGGAAGTTGGTGGAGACAGCTCAGATGGCATCCAAACAGCAGGGCCCAGGAGGCTGCCTAAGTAGGGGAAGGGGCCCTAGGCAAGAAGGTTCCAGAGGTTGTCAAGGGAGATCAGGGAATAGGCCCAGGCAGCAGTAGGAGCTGCTGTGGCCTCTCAGCGGCACACCCCATTTCACGCTCCATGGGCGGTGGCAGGGCCCCACGGCTATCAGCTTTCAGGGGTGGGAAGGATCAGGAATGAGGAGGGGTCTGCCCCACCCATGGCTCTCTACTCCCTTAGGGATTTGTGGACTCAGGAGGTAGGTACCATACACCTCTGGGAACTGCCCCTTGTTGAGACCCTCTGGGGAGGGGGTGGTGGTCAATCCCATAGAGCCTGGGCACCATCCTCCAGATTTCTGGGTGCCTGACTGGACTCTCCACCTAAGCCCTTCCCAGTCCTGGTGGAGAGGCCTCTCTGCTTCTGTCCCCAACTCAGCAAGACCCCTATCTCTCTGAATGTGGGCCCCACTTTAGCCCATGAGGCAGATGGGGGGGGGGGATTAGGCCAGTCCCAGCCCAAACAGCACAGCAGGGAATGGGCCCTCTAGCTCTTTGCAGTGCCTCACCAGGTCCCTCCTCCATTCAGCCCTCCTCAAGGAAGCTGAGGGGAGAGCCAGGCAGAAGGCCGAACCTGAACACATGGCCTGCTCCTCCTCCTCCTCTTGCCCTTTGGTGGTCTACTCTACAGAGCAGTTCTCTCTTGTTCCACATGTACCAGGGGCCTAGCCCTCTTCCCAGTGCAGAGCACCCAGACCCCAGAGCAGTGCAGAAGGAGATAGGCAGGGACCTCTGAGCAGGCATCAGTCCTGGTGTCTCTGCCCCACCCTCCTGGTACCCGTGGAAGGAAGAACCGGATGGGATCTCTAGAGGCTGATTAGAGCTGGGCTGGTTCCTCTGCTGGTTCCCAGACTCCCACTGGCCAGCACTTTTGCCTGCTGCCAGAAAGTTGGTGAGGGGGAGGCGGCAGTAGGGGTGAGTCAGCGATGACAGGAGCTCAAGGGACAAAGGTCATGGGTGGAGAATTGAGAGACACTGTTTACGGCAGCCCACCTCCTCCAGGAGGCCTTCCAATGTGAATGACCCCTGTGGTCCTAATCCATCTCTGACCCATCCTTCTCTCTTTCTTCTGGGATAGGAATTCTAACCTCTCTCTGACAATGTGCACCAGAGTTCCCTGTAAGACTGTGAGAGCCTGGGGCCCAAGGAGGCCTGTGGTTTGACTGGGGTCCCATAGTGCCTTTGAGTATTAGCGGGGATGACAATTTAGCTATACTTCCTATTTTCAAAAACTTTACAGGCGGCGCCTGTGGTTCAGTGAGTAGGGCGCTGGCCCCATATGCCAAGGGTGGCGGGTTCAAACCCGGCCCTAGCCAAACTGCAACAAAAAATAGCCGGACGTTGTGGCAGGTGCCTGTGGTCTCAGCTACTCAGGAGGCTAAGGCAAGAGAATTGCCTAAGCCCAGGAGTTGGAGGTTGCCGTGAGCTGTGACACTACAGCACTCTCCGAGGGCAATAAAATGAGATTCTGTCTCAAAAACAAACAAACAAAAACCCCTTACTACATGCATTTAATTGAGTTAATATGCAGAGAAGTGTTTAGAACAGTACTTGGCACATGGTTAGTGCAATATGAGTGTTAGGTTTGTTGTTAGTATTTTCTGTTCATATTCACATTATTATGATCGATGGGTCAGATTTTGCCAATGAAGAACTAGGGATCCAAACACATAGTGAGGGGGAACAAGACTCCTGCCCTGGCCTCCTGGTCAGTCTTCCTGACTAGTAGGGTAGACAGGGGCAGGATACAGGACCCCAGGAGAGTCAAAAAGGCAAACTCTTGCCTGGACTAAGTGGGCAGTCTCTTTGGTTGCAGACTGTGAGAAAGGCTCTTTTAGAACCCATGGACTTCTCCAGCTCGGTCTCCAGGGGCCAATGGGGGTGGAAGCAGGGAAGGGGACTGAATTCGCCCAAAGCCCAAATTCTTTTCGATCTCCGGACCTGCCCCCACAACGCTGGTTGGGCCAAGGGGCCGAGAGAAGGCTCCAGCTGGGCTCTGGGGAGTTATAAACTGGCCATGGGGATTAGTGAAGCTGAAAAGAACATTTGCCTAGGAAGGGAAAACGGGAAGTGAGAGCCTGAGGATAACGCTCTGCAAGTCCCCCGGGGCCCACTGCAAACCAGTGGGGGGCAGGAGGAGGTGGTGGCTTTGGGGGCACCGAGACAGGTCCCCCGCCCCAGCCTGACCCCACCTCTGGTAGAACACAGCTGCAGCAGCTGCCACGCCCCCTCACCCTGTGCTACCTGCTATTGGCTAGAGCCAGGGCCCCGCCCCACAGAAGCGGCCTGCCATTGGCTTAAGTCTTTGATGTTTGCGTATTTGCGGGGGTGGGAAAGAGGCGTCATTCCTTGGAACCAGGAGACTTCCTTTCTCTCCTGGTCTGGGTCATCTCATCTGCCCGGCGTCGTTGGCCCCGTCTCTCTGACTCTCTCTCTCTCAGCAGCTGTCTCTGTCGCACCCGCTGGGCTGCGTCTCTTCCCCGCAGTCGCCTCCTTCTTTGCCTGCCTGGGTGGCCGCCATGGGCCGGAAGCGGCTCATCACTGACTCCTACCCTGTTGTGAAGAGGAGGGAGGGGCCCGCTGGGCACTGCGCAGGGGAGCTGGCACCGGAGCTAGGTCTCTGAGGTGTGGGGGAGGCAAGAGGAGTGGACACGGGTGGAGGGAGCAAATGGATGGGAAAGTGTACTATGTATATCCTCTGCTTCCGACCTACGGTCTTACTGTGGGAGGGCAGAGGCTAAGAGGTGGTGAGGAGGGCTGGGGAACAGTGGCATAGCTGTGAGGCCAGCCCCGCAGGGCGAAGGCCTGGGCAGGCTTGAGGAGTAGTATGTCATTGCAGGGGAGGAGCCGCAGTCCCCCATCAAGGAGGAAGCAGAGCTGGAGCTGCTGAGGCAGTTTGACTTGGCCTGGCAGTATGGGCCCTGCACAGGTGAGACCCACTCAGGCCCCACAGAGCATCCACACATCTCTGAAGCAACCCAAGCGTCTGCTTGACTCTGGGGCACTGTCTCCTGGGACTAGGGACTGTGGAGACTCTAAAGATTACCCCCACAACACACACACACTTTTCTAGCCTAGCTTCTTCTCCACCCTCCAGAGGCTCCAGGGTCTTCTTCCCACTCTTACAGGGATCACTAGGCTGCAGCGCTGGCATCGGGCAGAGCAGATGGGCTTGGAGCCTCCCCCAGAGGTGCGTCAGGTGCTGAAGACTCACCCTGGAGATCCCCGCTTCCAGTTCAGGTCAGAGACAGGCCAGAATGCCTTTCAGGAGAGCCAGGGCCTTCTCCAAGCAACACTGTCCTACTGGCCTGGGTTGGGTTGCCCTGACTGGGAACAGAAATGGATACAGACTTGGGGGTCCTTGGTGAGCGGGCAAGAAGGTTCTGCAAAGTGCAGATTGCTTTAACAATTCTCATCTCTATGAGCTCGTGGTGTGGGGAGACATGGCTAAGAATTGGGGCTGGCGAAATCAGATCACAGGATTCAACTGACTCACCGCTCTCTCCCTCTCCTTCCCTCTCTCTCTCTTTATGGGGTATCTCTCCCTTCCATCCCATCTCCCATAGCCTCTGGCATCTCTATCCCCTATGAGGTACCACCTAGGACTTCCAGCCCTTGGCACTCCTGCTAGCCACCCAAGGACTTCAGGACAGAAGTGAGAGCCAGTTGCTGCTGCTCAGTGTAGCTCTGCTGAGGAGCCTTTGGCAGGCTGGATCTGGAGGTCTCTGCAGCTCAGTGCCTTCCTGTAACCAGCAGGCTCCTGGAGCCCCATCTGAGAGCCTACATAGCTGAAGCTGTGCACCCTCTAGAGGAAGAGTGGTCTTGGAGGACAAGAATCTGGCCACGAGATGAGCCTTCCAATGCCTGCTACATGCCTCCCTGACCTGTTGTGTGGCAAATTAGACATAGACTTGAGCAGAGCCAGATGCAGGCAGATGATCTAAGAGGCAAAGATGCACTCCTCACCTAAAGCTGAGGATAGGGCTGGCTGAGCTCACAGGGCAAGGGCTTCACTAATGCTTATTAATAAAGAACATTAAGCCTGGAATCCTGGCCTTCAGTCCCTTCATGTGGCTCTACTTTGGCTGGCTGTCCCCAGCAAGTTAGTAGATGGGAGAGAGCCAGCTCTGTACCTCCTCTTCTCTTGCAAGGAAGCACCAGGCCTGAGGAAGAAAGACAGATGCCTTAAGACTGCAGTTCCATCCTGGGTGGACTGGTCAGTGGCCTGTTAGGAACTGGCATCCTCTGTGTTCATAGCCATTCCTCACTGCCCACCACCACCTGAGCTCTGCTCCTGTCAGACAGGTGTTAGATTGTCACAGCAGCAGGACCTGGCTATCAACTGCCAGTGGAGTGGCAGGGTGTGTAAGCTGTAGGCTCCACGTGAGAATCTAACTCCTGATGATGTGAGATGGAACTGAAATGTGTCTGAATCATCCCCAAATCACCCCACACCCCCACACCCAGTGTCTTCCATGAAACTGGTGGATCCCTGGTGCCAAAAAGGTTGGGGACCACTGCAGATAGACCCAGAGTCCTGTCAGGACCTGAGTGGCCTCTGGCGCCCCCTGGGAGTCTGAAGGGGAACTACTCATACCCTTGCCTTCACTGACGGGGCACCTGCCACCTGCTTGCCTGGTGCTGCTTACCTCACAGACATGGGTGCTGTGCCAGAGAGAAGCCCCTGGGTCCCACAGTTCATGAAGTTGAGAAAGATTTACATATTTCCAGCAAGCACCTCTGCTTCCCATATTGGGGGCTACCTGGGCCCAAATCAGGGCTGGGGGCAGGTGTCAGTTTGGCAGTCCTGCTCAGACATGGCCATCCTCTAAGGAACTGAGAACTGGCTGGAGCCATAACCAATGCCTAATACCCAATATATACTAATAGCATTTTTTATCTTCTACATTGTATCTTGTACCTCTTGTATTGCAGAAGTCAAACATAAGTCAAGTAGTATAATTTTAATATAGTTTTTTTCTTTCTGAAATGTGTATACATTGGCTCGGTGCCTGTTGCTCAGTGGTTATGGTGCTGGGGCACATGCACCAAGGCTGGTGGGTTCAAACCCAGCCCGGGCCAGATAAACAACAATGACAATTGCAACAACAACAACAAAAATAACCGGATGTTGTGGCAGGCGCCTGTAGTCCCAGCTACTTGGGAGACTAAGGCAAGAGAATCACTTAAGCCCAAGAGTTTGAGGTTGCTGTGAGCTGTGATGCACAGCACGGTAGAGAGAGCAAGATAGTGAGACTCTATCTCAAAAAAAAAAAAACGTGTATACATTTTTGGGCAATCCTATGTAGTGTTATCTTCATTTGCTTTATCAGCCTCCACCCTGAGGGCAGGTAGAGATGACTAACTCATTGGAAACAGGCCTAGACAGGAGCTCTGTGGCCCCCATATGCCCTGTCTTATTGAGCACTGGCCACATTTCAGGTACTTTAAGTGTATTTATCTCTAATCCTCCCAAAAACTTCCAGGTGGGTTTTATAGAGAGGGAAAATGAAGCTAAGAAAGTCTAAATAGAGTTGCCCAGAGGCACACAGCCGGTGAGCGGCAGTGCAGAGACAAAGCTTGTGTACATCAGGCTCTTCCAGTTTGCACCATGACCCCTGCCCATCCTCTGACTACCTAGTATGTGCCTAGCACCAAAGTCCCTTTGGGTGTCATCAACAGTGAAGAGGTAGAAGAAAACCAAACATGTATATTAATTATGTCAGGTAGCGGTCAATGGTAAGCAAAATTAGGATTAGGCTCACAGGGGTCCGAGAATGTCAAGCGTGCTATTTTAGAGAGGTTGGTCAGGGAAAGCACTCTGCTAAGGTGGCATTTGAGCAGAAACCTAAAGGAAGTAAGAGAGTAGGGCCTGCACCCATGTGAGTGTTCCAGGTAGAAGATCCCTAAGGCAGGAGTGTTTTCAGCCTGTTCAAGGTACAGCATAGAGGCCAGTGTGGCCAGGCAGGGGAAATGAGGCCAGAGAGATAACAGGCTGGCCCCATAGGGCCTTGCAGGCCATGATAATAAATCTGGGTTTTATTCTGAGTGAAAAGGAAAGACACTGGAAGGCTTTCAGCTAATATATGACATAAGCAAACTTATGTTTTGAAAACATTCTTTTGCCTGTTGGTGGAGAACAGATTGTGAGGCTAGAAGAAGACAAAGGTAGCAAAACCATTCAGGAGACTATTGGAGTTGGCCTGGTGAGAGGTGATGGAGATAGTGACCAGGCTGGGGTGATGGAGCTGGTAGGAAGTGGCCAAATGCTCTGTATTTTCAAGCAAGAACTGACTGACAGGGGTCAGCGCCTGTGGCTCGGGTGGCTAGGGCACCAGCCACATACACCTAAGGTGGCGGGTTCGAATCCAG